GCTTGAATGAATTTGTTAGGAAAAAAAAAAACACTTTGCAAACAAGATTTGTTAATTTGCACACACAATCAATTGCCTGCATTTGTGGGAGTATTTTGTAGTATAGTGTCCCATAGAAAATGTTGATTCTGAAATGAAAGTAAAGGTTTTCTGACAATTCTGTTGTACAGTGGTCAGCATAAAAATTAGTACACCCCATTAGTCTCCACTAGTTTCTCGTGAGACCTGTCCTTTAAAGCTGGGTCAAATAGAGGCCAGGAGGTATGTACTCCCTCTTGAGCAGAACTATAGTCCCTCACTGGAAGATTGTGTTCTGAGCTAAACAGAATGGCCTTTAAAGTCTGCAACATAATGAAGAGTGTCAGACCAAGGAAAGAAACAGATGTCCTTAGCATAGTGCTGAACCTCTCGAGTACTTGCCTACCAGGGTGGCCTACACACTGCATCTTCTTCAGCATAGAGCGGGTTCACCAGACTACACTCCATCCATCTTCTGCTGCAGAGAGCAGTTTTGCTGGTCTACACTCTGCATCTTCAGCTGTCAATAACCAGTTCGCCGAAGTTCAATGCATCAACCCTCGAGAGTGTCAACCCATTGCATATGTTATATAGCAGAAACTGAAATCATAGAACAGTCCTATGCTCTGGGAATTACCCAATCTGCTCAGCCTACCCTTCGGACTACTGCCATATTTCTCCAGAACTGAACTTTAAGTTAAGAGGAAGTGCAAAAGAGGGAACCAAAGTTTGCTCACTTTGTCTGGACAGCAGAGTTCCTCCAGGTGTGCACCACCGTATGGGCCCCAACACAGCTGGCAGAAGCAGCTATCCTGGGACTACCCATACCCTACCTCATACCCATTGACACAGACTTTGCTACCCAGATTATTTTTTCTTCCTTTTTGGGTTGTTTAAAGTCCACTTGCAGGGCTTTGCTGTGCATCCATAACCTAGCCAGGTCACTCCATGCACATGGCACAAAGACATATAAAAAACAATCAATGCTCATACTGCAGTAGATCCTTAAAAATAGTATTTAAGGAAAAATAGTGCACCCACATAAAATTGAAGCTAAACCATAACAGTTGGCTGCAGCGCTATAACATCCACTCCATGAACCTTCCTGGATAGCAGCCACTGTGTGTGATGACGTCATGTTAGGCACCTACCTAAGTGTTTAGTCATCAGTTTGCAGTCAGGGGCATGGCTCTGTCAGCACCTGTGGTAGTGAGCTCTTAATCCACAGCTTGGGGTTCCCCAGGGCACGGAGTCTAAGCCCCAGCCTGCTTGTTCACCAGAGCCCCTGATGGTGGGGATGGACTTGGAGCAGACTGGAACCAGGTCGCGGCCTCCAGGTACACCCAGCTGAGGTAGAAGAGACCGCTAGTGGAAGCAGGGTACAATGGGAGTAGACTCAGGGAGATCCAGTAGGCAAGCAGAGGTCAGGACAGGCAGAATATAAGCGATGTCAGGAACGAAGCCAGGGTCGGTACACAGATAGACAATATAGGAGAAATGTCAGGGACAAGCCGGGGTCAGTACACAGATATACGTGACCGGATTCTCAGATGAACACAGTGGAGCTCAGACAACAATGTTGCTCAGGCAAAGTGAGACAGCCTGAGCATGTCTTAAATAGACAATCCAGCTAGGAGGCGGGCCAGGAAGTGATGAAAAGGAAGCACATAAAACCCCGGGAATAGCAGACGACGCCCATAGGTGAGCACAGAGAAACACACGTGAAAGAATAGCAAGGAGGTAAGACCAAACAAACAAGAGGCTGCAGGCACACTTATGACAGGCTCCACACCCCCTGAGGAAGTCAAATGTATGACGAAACACGTAGGGAGGTGCCCAACGTGATGTTATCACGCACAGCATTTATGGCTACTCAGTAGTATGAGAGCAATTGAGTTTTGGTAAGCATCAAACTTAACGCCTATCTTTATTGGATATTTAAGCAGTTCTGGAGATAGAAATCACTTCCTTCACTTCTTACAGACTTTTGTATTGTACTAATTGGACTTAAGGGGGGGGGGGGTTCACTCATGTGTGGTATCTGACCATGTTTTATCAAATGGAACATATTTATAGTTGTTTAATATGCTTTGATAGTGCTGCACAGTGTATATTGTCGATTAAAAAAAAAAAAAAAAAAAAAAAAAAGTGTATCATGAGTAATGACCAAGCTATGGTGCAATACATAACCCCATAGAGGAAATATAACATTACTCTACATAAAGTGTATACATTAGAGCTGAAGATACAGTATGCAAATGCACATACCATATCTAAAATGACCCACATTAGGTTGTCTTTGGAGAAATTATATTCTGGTTTATTTTTTTTTTAAGCTTTGTATGCCATATCTAGCATTATTTACTGTGGCAATGTCATCTTTTTGCACATACTGAGATGCATTATTAGGTAGCTTGTTTTGGTTTAGACCCTGTTCACACTTGAATGATGCTACCAGGTCACATTTTACTGTGTTTTTAAACCAGCAACATAAATTTGAGTGACACCCCCCCCCCCCCCCCCCCCCCCCGTCACGTACCTGATTGCAGACTGAAATGACGAGGTCGGCCTCACTTGTGTCACTAGCCCTGACCCCACTGGAAGTGGAACAGAGTGTCTAGGGACCAGGGGGACAAAGAGCGCCAGCAGATGTTTGCAGATGGAGACTTTGGAAGACTAATGAACCTCCAATTCAGGAACAGTAGTGATATGCAGAGCTGGTATGGTAGGTCGCCAGGTGTGCACCACAGCAAGGCAGGAAGCAGGGATGGGAGACAGGAGCAGTGTCATATGAATAGTCGGGGTCATCAACGGGCAGACAGCGAGGTACCAAATCATAAGCAAGCCAAAGTCAGGAGCAGAGCCGAAGTCAGGAACAAGTATCAAGCAGAAGAATAATCAGAATCAGGTCAGGAACAAGCAGGGTCAGCAACAAGGAAATCACACAGGAACAAGCAAGAAACGGGAAACAGCTGAAGACCAGTCAGAGGCACCTTTTAAATAGTCCGTCTGGCGCCAATCTTCACCATGCGTGATCGCGCATTTCTGTGCGCATGCGCACTTCTATTTGCCAATCGTCTCACTGGGATTCCCTTACACTCCCCTCCAAAAATACACTTAAGCTCATTTGCCAAAAATGTTGAACAATTTTGTGATGTGCGCCTTTTGCACGTTTGCAGAAATGCTGGTTTCTGCTATGCCCAGGTGTGAATGGAGGCTTTGTCGTTACTAATGAACATGTTTAAAAAGTGTATCATTAGCTTAACTTTGGTTCTAAGTTCTCTATAGAGCTGGAGAAGGGTTAGACCCTCTGTCAAGTGATTTATGCACTCTGCATTCCCATTACTGCCTTGCGATATCAGAACTTTGGTGATGTGTATTGTTCACTAAAAGGTTTACAGAGGGCCATGTATGGCAGGCCTCATCAAGAGTATTTTAAAAGATCTTACCAGTGCAGGTATGACATCTCTACATTCTAACTCATTTGGTCAAATGTGCCTTCAAGTAGGGTTAATGTTACTTTTGTTGTGCCTTAAACTGGGGTGTGTCAGATGTTTCGCTTTCCCCGAATACCTTGCACAGACACAAGATGATAATTTTTATTGCCAACCTGAAAATTTGAGAAAATTAGGGTGGTACGGTATTCATAAATGATTGCCCCATTCTGGCTATAGTTTTTTCCCCTCACCAAGAAGACAAAACAAAATTAATTCTTCAATAGTTACAATTTATTTTGAGAGTTCTCAGATGCGCCCCTCACAAATTTGCAAAACAGACTGAACACTATTTTTTGCTTCATCCAGTAGTTGAGTAGCTTTCTTTTGTGTCTGGAAAAAAAAAAAAAAAAAAAAAAAAAAACTTAATACATTAAATATGTTTCAGAAAATGGCAGTTGGATTATTAGAAAGGAGGATGTCTTTTAAAAGGCCGGCTCCATCTTTTTTTTAGCCATATTTTGGGTGCAACAAGTAATCTGATGCAAAGTTCCCCCACACTTCCCCAGTGTGCAGGATTTCTTCTCCCCAGTGGCAGCTGTCAAATTTTAAATTAGCGCAGCTACATGAATAAACTTCCCATACTATGTGCCACAACAGATTTGCAGTTATCAAATGGAACAAGTGCAGTAATCACTGCACTTTTAGTCCATTGAAACATCCTCCAGCTCCTTAACTGAAAGTCCATACCTTGGTACAGACAAGGAGCTAGAGGAGACTATGCATCGCATCCGTGATCCAGGGACAAGAATTGGGTGCAATGCTTTGCATGCTCATTTGCAAAAAGAAATTAAATAGATGTACTTTTTTGCAGATATGGGTGCAGTTTCTTCATCTGCTCTTTTATCGGTTTGTAAAAAGGTGGATTTTGCCTTTAAAAGGCTTATAGAACCCAACATGCCATGTCCTAGTCAAGTGAAGGTTGCAGTCCAAAGTCCATTTTCAACATATTTGTATAAGACACTTTTATAGTAGGATTGAGGCATGTCACAAGCCTTTTTTTTTTTTTTTTTTTTTACTGTCCATATCCAACTTCCCCCCACCCTTTCCTGCCATGACTTTTTTCCATCCCCTAATACAGACGTTACTACTCCCTAACACCATAAAAGTGCAGAGATCTCTCCTGTAATCAAAGACTTAAGGGAGCTGAAAATAAAGAATATCTTCTGGACTGACTAGCAGAAAAACATAGAAGATGGTAAAAAGTGGACTCCATAGACCAGTCTTTTTGCTATTTCTGTCTGGTGATGGATCTATATTTTATTCCAAGCATTTTCACTTCGCTTACAGTCTAAAAGCTCAATACCTCTGCCGGAAGACTGTTCTAAGCATTTACGACTCATGGTAAAAATACTTGTTACATTATACTTCAGCTTTAAAATAGGTAAACTATAACAAGATATGGTCACAATTGGAAAGGATATAGGATGCTATTAGGACCATGACCTACATGTTTTCTTGATTATAGGATTTTGGGGTCTACAGTTTTTAAAGGAAAACCATGCTGAGAGAAATATGTAAAACTACCAGTGCTAGAGTTATCCTATGAAAAATGCTAGTTGCCTGGCTAACATGTGGATCCAATACCACTAGCTCCATTAGAGTAGTAGTTCCAAGACAAAAATTAGAAGTAATGAAGCCATATACTGTAAAGCCTGGCAAAAGCACTTTCAGGAGGAAGATACCTGTGGTAGCCCTGCTAGTTCTAACAGGTTTCCTGAAGACATTAGACACGCTCAATCCTCTGGCCTGATACAGCTGACAAAAACTTAATGCAACACTTGTTACCTGGCTTTTAAATCCGTCATCTTTTATTTCTCGAAGGTTGATAAGGACATTAAAATAAGCCCCAAACACTCCAGTCTCTAAAGCTTTTGCCGCCACCTGTGAAATGGTTAATATCAGTTTGGTCAATAAAAAAAAAAAAAAAAATTGGATAAAAAATGTACCTATATTCTGGCTATATATATTTGTCAAAAAATTAATATGATGATACTTGAGATGCGTGATCAGAAGTAACATTACAAAGATAGAAGCAGATATTGAATAAAGTTCAGTCATTAAAATAAAAAAAAATTATCTGTACAACTGTGACACAGGTTAAATATTTGTAAAACATACCTTTCCAACTATGAGATGCTGGGGCTACAGCTTTTCCTATTACAACACCGACAACTTAAATAAGAATTTCTTAGGGGGCAGAGTCAGTACAGAAAAGCACAGCTTGTAGGCTGTAAGGTACCATGGGATATGTGGTTCTTAGAAATCAAAAGCAGAAAAGAAGCTGCAAGGCATGTAGGGAATTCAGGAGGGTGTCAGAAAGAAATGGCTAGTAGACAGGCAGAACTCCCAGCATGAAAGGCAATTCTTAAAGTAAACTTAAACTGGACTGGCAAATATACTGTAACTATTTAATTTGATTACATCAGCATTGTAATAGTAATTCAAACAAAGTGCATTCTGTGACTAGAGATTTCCTTTAAACATGTTCTTTACCTGAAGGTCAGATATACATGCAGAATTGCCATGCTTAGAAAGCTCTAGCAGGGGCTTCCACAATGTGTTGACTTTCTCAGCTAGGCTTAATGGAACGCCCACAGCTTCCTTTAGACCATTCTGTAGGGCAGCAACCCGCCTGAAAGAAATCACAAGGTCATAAACTAGGAGATAACAAGTGTATGCCAATGACCTTTATTAACTAGAGCGAAAAAACAAAAAACAAACAAAAAACAAAAAACAAAAAACAAAAAACAAAAAACAAAAAACAAAAAACAAAAAACAAAAAAAAAAAAAAAAAAAAAAAAAAAAAAAAAAAAAAACACACAAACACACCACCTGTCCTACAGATAGAAAAATGATTAAATGGAAAACGTACAAGGAATTTCTAGGCATCCCCCCCCCCCCCCCACACACACACACACACACTATATTTTTTATTAATAAAAACATAAATAAAATAATTTATTATATCTTTTCACTCGTGGACTTTTCTTTTGAATACTATGGAATATTCAAATGCAATATTTTTTGTTTAACCAAGTCCTATTGTTGACCCTGATGTCATTAAAACAAATTTTTAAAAGTACTAATCGGATTGTAAAATGGTTACATTCCTGTCTGGCTTGGCAGCAAGTGTTCTATTTTTAGGTCAGAATTGCAAACAACAGATACTGTGAATGGTGCATCTCTGCCAAAACACATGATGGCGACTATGGTTTTTGTGTAAAAGAGTTAACTACACAAGTTAACCTGACCCAGCGGCAATCATCTCAGTCAGCTGATGCGTAGTTTGTCGTCCCAGATCAGAAAAACCTCTGCACAGTGTGGGATCTGAGAGTGTAAATGTCACACCTGGAATGTACTTTGCCAATTAAACAGAAGGTTGGGTTTGAAACAAAAAAGGTGTGCCCTAGCTTGGCATGCAACTCCAAGCCATCTTCCTAATCAAAGTGCTTTCCTTATCAAATAGGTTTTGTGCACTTACAGGAAATGTACTCGCCACCTGTTTTCTCACTTAATCCCACTGATTCAGAAAACACAGCTCAAGCAAACATTACAAGAAACTAAATGTAATTTTTTTCCTGAAACACTGTACCCTTTTGCCCTAATTATTTCTAAATGGTCCATATTGCAGTAAAAAGACAAACTTACTTCTGCTGCTGTTCTTCTGTGTCTTTTGGGAGCTTGAGGGCAGTCTGACACCAAGAGATGCAGTAGAAAATATTAATAGCCATATAGAACTACAAAATACTCCTAGAGTATATATTTGTTATTGACAACCAATGGAAAGAAAAAAACTGTAGGTTAACAGTTGACATTGGGTCCATGCATAATGATTGGAAAAAATATGCAATCATACAGTTGCGTAACAGTCTTAAAAATGAGAAAATAGATGTAGTAAATGCTTTTGAACCAGGTGATATATGCTCAAGCCCCAAAAATGCAAAGGATCCTCCCTGGCAAGCTCAAAATCAGAATAAATTGTCACTATATGGGTAAAGCTGCTCTCTGGGTAGCTGAAGGAAGATACTACAACATCTCTGGATTGTGGCATTTTCTTTTTGGTGCTCAAAGTAATTTGTTGCTACAAGCAATGAAGAACAAAAAAAAAAAAAAAAAAAAAAAAAAAAAAAAAAAAAAAAACACACACAAAAAAAACCAAACACACAAAGTTCCAAATCTTAGGTTTTTATACAGTGCTCGAAATAGGTATAAACAGCCCTTTTTGATTGTGAAATGTCTAACCACAGTAAACAGTGGTAAATCATATTGGTTCTCCATCTAAATCATATTGGTTCTCCATCTAATAGAAACATTTTTTTTCCCCCAGATTACTTATACGGATTTATAAATGAATTATTTTGGGTTTCTTTGTTCATCCCCCAGTGCTGTCTTTTGGGAACTTTTTTTTCCAAAATCATGTTTTTATTGAATTTATTTTAACAAGAAAACAAGACATAGAATATTCAATACAGATGCAGTTACAATAAGTTGAACCATTGAATATTACAAAGTAACAATGTTAAAAAGTTCTTGAACAACAGAAATGGGATACATTACACGTTACCATAGAACAAATTCAGCGCCATGTCTGTACCTTATGCCAACTATTACAGGCTCAGTCTAGGGGAGGTCTTTTTTTAGAAATTATTGCTGAATAATTTGAACAGGAGAGGGGTTCAAAAATCAAGCTAATTTCCAATAATATCAGAAAAAGGACGACAGTTTCTCACTAATGTTCTCTAAACAGCCTTTGCTGGAGGAAACAGGATGGCCAGTGTATATATACACACACACACACACACACACACACACACACACACACACACACACACACACACACATATAGCATCCTCTGGCACTTAGTCCTCTTCTAGCACTTGCGCATCCAAGAGTGCACAGTAAGGTTTTTACTCAACATCCCAAGAGATGTCTGCCACCCAGCATCCACAGATGGCTCCTTGTGAGGGAGATATTGAGCCTTCTCCAGACCAGGACTTCAGGACAGCGCCCTCTATAAAAAAAATCTTTTAGCAATCCTTCCCAGGCACTGAGCCCAGCTCCCACTGAGGCCCAGACTGCAATGTCTTGTCTCTCCATCACACAGGGGCAGCAGCCCCAGGAGAACTGGAACACTTCCTGGAGAGGAAAAAAAAACTCTGGAAGTCCTCCCAAACATTTATTACCTCCCAAACCACCTTCCAAGGATTGGCAGGGGCATGATAAATACTGGACATTTGACTCTCCCTGGCCTATATTCTGGAAGGTTCTCCTAGAAGCTGGTGGGAGAAATCAAACACTCAACTAGGAAACCCTGACCAGACAAAAAGTGCAAACTGTACAAACTGCATTCAAGCCAAAAACTAGCCTAGCACCCTAACTAGAAGGGTGCTACATTATATTTTTATCTTATGATCATATGGATATTATTGCGATTTCAGATTAGTTATATTGAACAAACTTCTGTTTCAGTGCAGATCCTGAAGAAATTATTTTTGATTGCAAAAATGCATCAATTTCAATAGCTGTATATAAAAAGCTATAAGATTTGGAACTTTTGTGAGGCATTCTTGTGCCTTTTAAATGAATAAAATATGCTTTATTTGTATGTTATGTGCTACACTAGTATCCGTTGAGGTAAAATTCAAAGAGGTGGGGTTTTTTGTTTATCTCCAGGTTTGCCATACACAATGTCACTAGTAGTAGTGGGCAACAAGTAGTAAAGTATTTTATGGTTTCATTTGATCACCTGGCTATTATTGTTCAGTTTGTGGTCATATCTGCTATTGTAGTATAATCGTTGACCTGAAGTCTCAACTACAACGGTTTCAAGAAAGTAATCTCTACAAGTCTTGTGTTAATCACATATCTTTTAGTTCAACCAGTCAAGTCGGTAGTGCAAGCTATGAATACACAAATATTTGCACTACAAAGAACATGGAACATTAACCTTAATTCTGATAAACCTAGATAGAATAAAAGTGGGGCAGATCACTGACCAAAATGAGCAAACCATTCCACACACATAGGCTTTTGTTGCCTGGCACAGAAGCCGGTCTCCTACTGAAGAAGCCGTTCATTAACTTGATTTAGTAAAACACAAAATTTTGTAAGGCGAACAGAAGTATGAATGTATAAAGATCTGTGGCCATAATAGCCAAATGAGAACGGGAAGGGAACATTGAATATAATCATCTGCAACTTTGACAGGACTGTATTCCAAACGTACACTTTCATTAACCACTTGCCTACTGGGCACTTTTATCCCCTTCGTGCCCAGGTCCAATTTTCAGCGCTCACACTTTGAATGACAATTGTGTGGTCATGCAACACTGTACCCATATGAAATTTTTTATCATTTCTTTCACACAAATAGACCTCTCTTTTGGTGGTATTTAATCGCCACTAGGAGTTTTATTTTTTGCACTATAAGCAAAAAGACAAAAAAAAAAAAAAAAAAAAAAAAACAAATTTGCAAAAATGTTATAATAGAAACAAACTTTTTTTTTTTTTTTCAAACAGGTAATTTTTCTCCTTCACTGATGTGCATTGATGAGGCTGCACTGATAGGCAGCACTAGTGGGGGACTGATGAGGAGGCACTGATTATGCTGCACTGATATGCAGCAATGATGGGCACTAATAGGTGTCACCGATTAGAAGAGCCCTGATAAGTGCCGATCTGCTCTGTAACAATTGCTGGTTATTGGCAGTACTTTCCTCATGCTGCGACAGCGTGAGGAAAGTGCAGCTGATAACCAGCAACTGTATTTACTCCATGATCTGCTGTGTCATTGGACACAGCGATCACAGAGATCGCCGGGTGCGTGCTGCCGGGAGGACGACATATGACGCCCTCCCAGAACTGAACAACAGCGCTGTAGCCATCATTCAGCTATAGCGTGGTTGGCAAGTGGTTAATAGCAAATATAGGCTAAAATGTATGTAAGGATATAAACCTATAAATGTACTAAAAAAAAAAAAAAAAGGTCAAACTCCGAAATGAAGAATCATTGCAAACTGTGCATGAATTTCTTTTCCTTACAAAAGCCTAATCTAGAGAGTCTGCATGCCAAAATATACCCCCATTAAAAAAAAAAAAAAAAAAAAAAAAAAAATATATAGTTTGAAGATCACAATAAAAAAAGTTTGCTAACCATGCTTTAAGTTTGATAGTTAAGAGTGGAGAAGTTACTGTTCCAATGGCAATGGTTTTACTAGACAAGGAGTTGAAAAATAGGAATCAGCATATCAGACAAAAATCTGTAGGGGAATAGAGCAAAATAGGAAGGTCTAGAACCCAAGCCAGCTTTTTATCGTCAGGTCCTTGTTGCAGATTCTCACGTCATACATGTATAGATGTGGTTGTTACTGTAAAAAGCAAGCAAGGGCATCTCTTGATGGCTGAATAACCTGACAGGATCCAATTCATCCCCACTTTTTCCCCAAAAAAATTACTCTACAAAAAAAAACAAAAAACTGTATTTGTACAAAGAATTAGCACAAATACCAGAATCTTTCCTTCTGTAATTCCAAGGACAGCAGCACTCATATTAGAGTGGGAGATGCAGCAGTTCGAGCCAACCACAGCTAGATTGAAGCATTAGAGGCAGGATCACTAAAGACGGAGGTACAATGTCCTACAATTTATTTGCAATTAAAAAAGTGTGGCATACAATACTTTATACAGGGTTTTCAGAATACATACCTATATGGAACAATAAAAATCTTACCAGGGTTTTGAGGAGTTGAACACCTAACAACTGGAAGCAGAAATGAGTTGTGTGATTTCACTACTCCAGGAGTATAATTGTGACAAACAAGAGAGACACGTTTGGGTTCTCAAAATAAGTGTTTCAGTATTTACACAGATATGACACGCATTGACAACCCAGTTCAAATGCTTGCTGACCACCTATCCACCATGTACTGCGGACGGGCCGCAACTACAGGCAAATTGATGTACGGGTAGGTCACTCTGGCTATACTAACAAAAAGTTGGGAGGGCACAGCGCTACCCACCTGCGACTGCTGTGTCCACTGGACACAGCAGAATGAAGATCCCGATGAATGGGATCCGGTGTTCATGTGATCACTATGCAAACACATGATCACAATGTTAGCAACCTGATTCTTAATAGCTCTGCTTCTCTTCCTGATGAGCTGTAATTGGCCCACAGCTCTCACATAGTACAGGGGGGGGCCAATCACAGTACCCTGTTCCTTGTGACCAGCTCTAGTCAATCACAGCTCACTATTTTGAGCAGTCATGAACTTAACCCATTCCTGACAGTTCAAAGCAAGCTTTGCTGTACAGGAGCAATGAAGATTATTGCTCCTGCAATGCAAAGTTAAAAAAAAAAAAATAATAATCTCCGATCACTGATCTTGGTGTGATCAGATACTTTAAAGGGCAGAGAAGAGATCTAGAGTCTACACAAGGTAACATTGTACTACTCTGATAAAAAGCATTAAAAAAATAAATGAATAAATAATAATACATACACTCTCAATACAGTATGGGGAAAGAACAAAAAGAGGGCGCACAGGCCTAGTGCATTACCATAAAAAATGTTTAATAAAAAATAAAGTAGGTGTTGTACACAAACGACAATATAGTCAAGGCACATCATAAAAGAACAGCTGGATCAACACCGCGCTGAGTAACAGTCCGCAATAGGGAGTTTAGACATCCA